GCTGTTCTCAACCTTTTAAGTGCCGGGAGCCATTTATAACATTTGCCAACTTGTGGCGACGCCCAACCTGAAATTGAGCAACAGATGTTGAGAAGGGGGGAGCAGAGCTTTTAGTGCAGATAAAAAGTTCTTGGTACTGAAACTTTTATTGGGGCTGGTAATGGTGGAGGGAAGTAGAAATAGAGTCTAACACTGGTGGAGGGTTCTGTAAGTCAATCCCCATAAAACTGGGTATAATTTTCCATGAAAGCTGAGTACTTAAAAGTTAAGCACAAAATAAAATTTAACAAATGAAATAAATAAAATCATTTATAAAGTAATTTTTTTTAAATGAAAAGAAACTGCCAAAATTTTAAAATTAAATTAGCTGCTGACATCTACTGAATGAATCGTAGTTTTTAAAAATATTTAATATAGCTGTTGTGTAGCCTGAGCGCAGTAACAATAAGAAACTAGTCTGATCACTGCAATAAATTAAAATTTTAAAATTAAAATTCAGATAATAAAAAATGCACATTTTGCACACACAAAAATCACCATCAAATTGCTGAATTTCTCAAAAGACCCCAGACATTTTATCAGGTGATCCACGAGGGGGTCGTGACCCAAAGCTTGAGAAACACTGCCTTAACCAATAAACATAACAAAAATCAAACATTGCGTGGAGCTTCACCATATATGTTAGAGTTGCAACAGTTTTCATCTTACTGATTCCAAAGTACACATATTATTTTTTTGGTACACATATTATTTTAATACATATTTATATCATCATGGTGATACCATTGTAGTCATTCTTCAGTTAAGCCAATTGCTTCACTTATTAAATTAATTTTAAATAACATTAATTTTATTGAACTCTATGACAGAACTTAGAAATGATCCACACACACAAATTTTGGCTACTCAGTATTATCAGCCAGTCACCATGTGAAATGAAATATTAATCACATATTATATATTAAAGGTGAAAATTTGTTTGTGGCTTTGTTCTGTCGACATTTCTGCATGGATTGATGAATCTTGACCCAACTTGGCACACATCACCATCATTATCCAGAATGATATATTGGTGGGGGGGGGGGGGGGGGGGGGGGGTTTAAACTTAACAAAATAATCCTTTTGGGGCTGGGAGCCAAAAATTTCTTTTTTTTTGTTATATATTTAGCCTTTATAGTCTATGTTCTTATATATTTATATAGCCTTTGTAGTCCATATTGAAATATCAGTGGATTTAGAAGTAATAAATCCACGTAATTCAGGGACAGAGTTTTTAAGAAAGTTTGATGATAATTTAAAAGACTAAGTCTCTGATATTTTTCAACCAATTTGAATTGGATGTTTAAATTTCAACTCCATTATTTATTTGAATGATTTTTAAGGGCCCCTTATCAAAGGCATACATAAAGGCATACATAAAAAGTCACCTTATTGAATAGGGCCCCACTGGGGGCCTATAAAAAATGGTTATAGTCATAACATTTTGTTGCAAACATTTTTTGTTTTCGAAAAATGATTTGGTAAAAGAGGAATTTTTTTTCCACAAGTTTATGGGGTGCTGGGAGGGTAAATTAAATTAAATCTAGAAAGTTCTATTTTGTTTCACGGGGATATATAATAAGATCTGAAAGCTTAATTTTTGTTCTCAATGACATATTTTTTTACGGGGCCCATAATTTTGATGTTAGCTATAAGGTGTTGTGTTTTCTGAATGCAATCCCGGGGTGTCGGGTATATTGGCTAGTTGTAAATAAAAAGTTCCATGGTCATAACCAAAGATATCCATCTTGCTAATACAAATAAACAAAATTCGGAACAAGTACATTATTATATTCAAAGCTTCGCAGATTAATCTAGCTTAAATTTAGTTTCGCACCAATCGCTTGTCAGTTTTCAATTATTATTTATTTAATTTAGGTAAAATGTACAAAAATTATGTAAAAAGATGTACTGGCTCTAAACTTGCATTTCTTTTTTTCTCCCCATTGGGTAAAACACACATAGAAAATGAGGATATAATTCTTTTTTTTTAACCACCCAGACCAGCTTCCATTTCTGTGCCACGTGTGCAAATATTCAGCATTTCCGGGTTCCTGGATCAGTACAAGGCTCAGTACTAATATATACTCCATACTCATTCAAAAGCCAACCGCCTTAAGGAAAATCCTGAAAAGTGTGTAATCCTCTCATAAGTCTACCCCATAAAATGCCAGTAGAATAAATATGGCACTAAAGAAAATAATTTCTTTTTTAAAATAATTATAATGGAAGTAGTGAGACTTAAAAATTAAATTACGGACAGCGTTATTTAATAACAAAACTACTACCAATATGTATGGTAACAATACTAAAGATTACCACACATAGGACCTCTAAGATCTAATATAAAAAAAAAAACAATTTCATTATTCAATGAGTTTACTTAGTACTTTGATGCTCGCTAAGCATGCCAGTTGAAAAATGGGGGTAAAATTGACCCAAATTTGCACTCTATTTTTTTCTTAATAACAAATTAGGTTTCTACACAGAGACTGAGAGAGCTACATTGTGATCACATTTCACTTTAGTTTTTGATGTCAAATATTTAAGTTATTTCTTGTTTTGCATTGTCTGCTGAAGAAGGTATTTAGTAGAAATGTCCTGACTTTTTTTTCATATCTAAAAATATCTTGTTCCACTATTTATTTACTTTTTTCTTCATGGTTTTCTATAATAGAATCAATGCACCGAAAGACAATTCTAAAATTCCCTTGACCTGATTATAAGCTGATGATCCCCCCCCCTCCATCACCACACTATTCCCCTATTAAATCTAAAAAAGAAACGGTTGGCTTATAAAAATTATATAATATATATATTATATTTAATAGCTAAATAATTTGAAAAATAAGGAATTAAATAGTTTAAATAAGTACTGTCGATCACAATAATGTTGATTTTAAAAAAAATCATATTACATTGTAAATAGTGTTAATCGCACTCAAAAAATTCATTAAAATTAAATAGAAAAGCACGTTTTTCAGTATTTCAAATAATCAGTAGCTAGATACAAGAAGTTATCACATTACTTGCAAACAGGCAAGAATACTTAGTATTAAAAATTACTTCATAGATTGCACTCCATCCCATGTACATTTCATATTTAAATATGGAAATAATATAAATATAAAGTTAATCACAATATTACATTGTTACAAATTAAAAAAAATTATTCATTATATTATTACAAAATGGCATATATTTGAACACAGTGTAGATATGTAGTTTAAATCAAGTTACATTTACTGCAATACAACCAAATTCAGTAGTTTGGCAAAAATTTTAACATAAACAATGATGCGCTGAAAAAAAACCTCCAATAAGGAACATTCATCATTTCCATTTTTCTCCTACTATGTCCTTTGCCACAGGAAAGAACAATGTTATGAATTTTCTTCATAAATCAAATAAAACCAAAACATGCACTATCAATTAGTATGAAAGATTTTGTATACAAAAATAATATAATGTGAGATTCATCAGTATATAATTACATTAATACTTCTTGGCCTCTATAAAAAAATTAAGTCATCCAATAATAGTTACAGTACCTCATGGCTGTGTTCAGTAGATCTAGAGAGCCTTGATAAGTTATAAACTCTATTCACATTTAAATTATGCTCTGTTAAAGTAAAGATGATAGCTCTGTGGTGCATTTTAATTTGATCAAATCACAAAAGTAACATTACCTCTTAAAAATTTTGTGAAACTCTACAGAAAAGGAACCTAAAGCCACATTCTTGTCATTTTAAGGTAAGTCCAAAGATGCTCTGATTCAAATTAAGAAAATCCTTATATTTAAAGCTGCATACACTTTTCTTCTCATAATAAATGTAATAATTCACAGAGCTAAGTGATTGTCATATGTGAGACGAATTCTGCTGCATCGTTTGTAATGTACAGAGCATGTACTGTTTCCTCATGTTTTATAAATTCCGTATTGGTCAAGAGTCTTCATCACTGCAGCTTGTCAGTGCCAAGTGTTCCATGTGGGATAAACTGTTGGATTCATGCTGCACAGAAAATGCAAACTCAGTAAATATAAAAGTGATTCTTCAAACTTTTACTGATATGCAAATTTTATTATATTTTGTTTCAAGATGTAGAAATTCCACTTCATGCTCAAAGTATGCTTAATCAGCGCTCATATTTATCAGTGACTAAACTTTTCCATAAAACCATCAAGTAAACTCTTTTCTTTTTGTAACATTTAGTACAAGACAATACTTTTTAAAAGTCACATACCCACCTCATGGTATGCTGGTGGAGGTCTGTAGTTATAGACATAGCGATACATAGGTGTGTAGGTAAGATCTCCCATATTTGAGCCTGGTGGTTCGTTGTCATCATCATCATCATCAATATTAACAGCTCCTCCAATACTCTCAGCATAAGTTGGTGGGTCTGAAATTAAAGAAGCAAATCAAAGTTTTTCATCTAACTGAATAAGCATAAAAAAAAAAAATAAGTTTTCATAACTTTCTTAAGATGAGATTAATCGATTTCAGGTTTGACCTGTGGTACAATAATAATGTTATCTGTCTTTCAACCAAGGGGTAGCTGGTTCTTATTCATTCTATGTACTTTGCCAGCTATGGGTAAATAATTGAGAGGATTGGACCAGTTAAGAAAGAAAAACTGCTGTTCTTGGGAAGGAAATAAACACTGAGTAACTAACCACACAGCACCCAACCTTGTATGGGGTGAACTAAAAATCAGCCGGCTATGTAAAAATATGCTGTAGTGTTACCTGTCAAGTTCAAGTTCCAAAATAAAATAAAGGAGAAAAATCTGTCTTTCCAACCCATAAGGACTTCTTTCTTTTACCTACAGGGGTTATAATGATAACGCCACACTTAATCTAGGGTAATAATAGCATTTCATAGTGACGTACCATCAAATGGTGGGGGAGGTGTGATCATCTCTCTGTAAGGAGGTGGCACAGGTAGGAGACTGACAGAGGCAAACTGAGCTTGTGTTTCCCTGTAATACCGAGAATCTGTATACCGATAACTAGGTGCTTGACGGAAAGGCACTGTGCCTATCACCACAGGCAAATGCATTGTCAAATTGTAGGCACCATTGATGTGAAGAGCAACCTAAAAAGAGAATATTTTAAAATCACCATAAACAAAAATCTGAACAAGACATCTCTTAAAATCTGCATAACAGACTATAGTTTTAATGATTCATTAAAACTAAACAGCAAATAATGCACCAACCCGCCAAACTAATAAATGGAGAAATACTTTTGCCAATTTATGGATTATCCAACTATTTAAGTGACTATTATTACCTTGACATAATAGTCGACTTTCATAACACAACAGTTGATGATAGATGGGGTGACAGCAGGAATTTTTAAAAGTTGTGAGTCCCATGAGCCTCTGGTGCCGGGAGCAACAGGAAGTCCTGTAAGCACAGTGAACTTGGTGCGTCTAATTCGAGATTTGCCACTGGCAAAGAAAGTTTGTGACTGGTACAAGGTCGCATATGGTATAACTGTCCGTGATGAGTGATTGTCAAACTCTGCTGATATAGCTATAGATTCACCTAAAATGTGAAAAAAATACTGCATCATTATTGTCTTTTTAAGATTATTTTGTTGTTAAATTATGCAGGGTGGGCCATAATATTGTAGCCTTGCTTCCAGAGATAGCATGACAAGATTAATAAAAAGTTTTTGTATTTTTTTTATTAACAGTACCAACATGTTACAGCAGATGCTGGGACTACAGATGGTGGGGAAGTGAATATAAAAAAGCCACTTGCTTGTTTATCGTGTCATATTATTGTCAGAGGCAAGCTACTTTTTTTGTAGCCCACCCTGCACTATACAACTACAATTACAATGAGTACGGGTCTAATAAGATGATATTAACCATAATGAATGTAAACACTACTGCAAAATCAACTTATGTATGAGTATGATGAAAAGCATTTAAAATCTATTCTGTAGTTAGAAATTAAAATGTATCAAGACATCTTTTTTTTGTCTTCTCAATGCTATAACACTATGAACAATCACATTTATTGATTGATCATTAATAGAATTTCAGTAGACTTATTAAACAAAAACTAACTCAAGTATTCATGTACTATTTTGCATTTAAACAAAAATTAGAAACTATTTGATGTTGTTTATGTAATGTAATTTTAAAAGGCTTGATTGAAAAATTGTGTTACCAAAAAGAGGATAGTTACTGAGACTATTCATTTGTAAAGACTTTAAGAATTTAAACTATTTTAACAATAAAATACCTGGGCAATAGCCTCTTCTATCTGTTCTAGATGTAATGGATATAGGTCCAGATGTACACAACCAGCAACAAAGGGTTTTCTCAACACTACTCTCTACATGAACCTGAAAGACCATTCAAAAGAATTAATTTTCCCTATTACTAAACGAAACAATAAATAATAAATTGTGTACAGTACAGCAGGTTGTTATTAGAATCTATAAAGCAAAAAAAAAAAATTTTTTGTTTTTATTTAGAGATTTTTTTTTTCAAATAAAAATAATATCATATTATTATTCTTACTTGGTACTCTGGTCTATTAATATCTATGGGGCTTATAACAGTAAAGGCTTTTTTTGTTTTATGATTAAACGACCATGGTTTATCCATTTCAGCTTTTAACCAGTAACGAATGCTGCCATGTTTGCCCTCAAAGCTTGTTGATATGCCCCTGTAACACAATAAATCTTTAGGTCATTTTTATTGTTATTTTTAATGAGTGTTCAAAATGATAAATATAAGCTATAAAATAGTACTCATACATTAGAACCATAAAATTAAAATTTAGTTAAAACTATGAAACCGGTGATATTAACATGTGACATAAAAATTTTCAGATACTTTTTCTCAAAAATAAACATTAAAAAAAAAAATTATGAGGTAAAAAAATTAGCAACCCTAATTTTCACCAGGGATGTTCCTATATTTCTTTTGGTACACTTTTGAACATCCACTTTTAAAGTCAATATTGGTTTTATAGGCCTTCATAAAAATGTATTAGGTGCTGCCATAATAAACTGGCAAAGACCAAAAATGATTTTTGGAAAGGAGCATTGAAGCTGGCAACTCCATATTTAAAAATTTTAATTTGGAAATTTCATATTTTGTTAATTTTAAAATTAGTTTTATTTTATAATTAATTGGTGGTAATAAATAACAAAAGTGAATATTGGTAACATTTGCATAATTGAATTATTAGTGTTTATGTTCTTCAAGTTTAATGTGAAAATATTACTCCCTTTGGTCTAAATTTTTACTAACTATCATCATCATCAACTAGGACAATGGGATGGGTGGAGGGGGGGTGGGGTTATAACTTTTTATAAATACTCAGATCTATTTTCACAAGCCCTAAATTTAAATGTGGTGCAGTAAATACTCCTGTAAATGTTAGTTTTTTCAGTGAATAATTTTTTTTATTTCTGTGACTTTTGAAATGTTCAATTTAAAATGATACAAATAATTAACTGTTTATTATTTGTTTGTAAAAAACAACAACCGATAATCAAAATTCAAAATCAATAAATGATTATGCTTTAATATCCCTTGTAATAACTTTAAAAAGAAAACTTAAAATCTTGAACAAATTTCGATTTTTATATATAAAAATACAGAAAAAAAAAAATTAAAATATGAAAACAAACCCCATAGGCAAATCAAAAGAAAAGTTCAACTCATGATGACCATCTGATAAAGTGTCTCGACCATCAGCAACTTCTGAGGATAAAAATAATAGGCTACAGATTATTATTGGGTTATGAAGTTGAACTGGAGGAAAATTTAGTATTGAAGAATGTACATATATCTATAATATAATAATAATATATTATATACACACACTTGAAGAGATGCTGCCTTCTGCAATATTTACTTTCATTTGATATTTTAAAAGATTTATATAATGGTGTGGCAAATTTTACTTTTCCTTCACCACAACAATGGTTATTTTGAAAAAAAGTTGCCCACCTTTGTCTAGGAATGATCAAATGATTATTCAATAATGATGTCAAGTAAATTAAAACTCAACACAATGTTCACATGTAATGAGCAAAGCTATCTTATGCAAAGTGCACAGGAAAGATGTTCCTTTTTTGAGTCATCATTTGTTCCTTGTGAGACATAGGGCCTTTGTCAAAGCAGGCCCCTTTTCATGGTATCTTGCTAGTATTTTTAGTTCTTTCCAGTTCTTCTCTGTTGTTTGTCTTATCCATCTTCATTTTCTTTCCAGGATTTGTTTCTCTATTGTTTTCTGTCCCCACCTCTCCCACAGCTTGATGTTTCATCCTTATCATACTCTTTTTTAATTCAATATATTTCTCAGGCAACTGTTGATGAAGAACTGGATTCTGTTGCTCTCCATGTTTCAGACCCATACAATAGGACTGCTTTCACATTGGAGTTACAAATTCTTATTTTTGTTTTCATAAAGGTGCAGGATGAGTTCCAGATTGGTTTTAGGTGGGAAAATGCCTGTTATGCTAAATTTATTCAGCGTCTGATGTCTTCGTCTGTTCCTCCAGACACATTGATTGACAACACTCCCAGGGTATATGAAGCTATCTTCTTGATGTATGTTTCGGTTCTCTAATTTTATGTCGCCATCTCGATTGTGATTTTTTTGGATGTATTTTTGTTTATGATGGTTTGCTTTAAGCCACACTCTTTTTTCCAGACTCTTTCAAAACTGTGATCTTTTCTTGCATGTTTTGTTGTCTATGAGATAGTATGGCTATATCGTCTGTTAATTCCAAGTCTTCTAATTTTTGTGTAAGAGTCTACACATTGCTCTTTGACGATTCTGAGTGTTGTTATCTGGTCAGCACATGATCGTCCTATTCTAAATCTGGCCTGTTCTTCCCTTAGGTGGTCATCACACACTTCTTTAATTCTGTTGAGTAGAATTCTGCTGAAAAAAACATTTTGCAAAGTTGGTTTACTATTTCCACTCTTTTAGGACCTCAGATGGCATATTGTCTATATATGCTGCTTTGTCTATCCTCATTTGGTTGAGCACCTTCTATATTACTTCTTTGGCTATCCCTTCCATATAAATGTCCAGTGTTCTTCCTGTGTTTAGGTCAGGTCAATTTAGGGGGATGGGTCTGTTTAGCACTTTTTGAAAATATCCTTCCCCCTTTCCATCTCCCAAGTAGGTGGTCTATAGAAGAAACTAGTTTACCTTGTTTGTTTTGTACTGGTATGTTGTAGTTAGCTTTCTTGCCACTCAAGAGTTTAGAGACATTATAAACTATTTCATATCTCCCTTTCCAGCTGCTTCTTCCGCCAGTTCTGCTAGATTATTATGAAGTTTACACTTAACATTTCTAAGCATTTTGTGACCTCTTTTGAAACTATAAAGTTCTTGTTTGGTCTGTTTTCTTGTTTGTTTTTTTTTTTTTACTGTTTGCTTTGCATTTTTTCTATCCTCGATTCTTTGCCATATCTTGTCATTTATCAAGTATGGATAGTTTTTTGGGGCAAGGCATACTCCGTTACACACTCCAAAAATAATTTCTTTGAATTTATCCCATGTTCTGTCCATGTTTTCTTCAGTTTCATCCAGGTGCCATGCAGCAAATAGGTTTTTAAAGGTTTGCTGAAAGTCATGTTTTGTCTGCAAGTTTGCCTAGGTCAATTCTGGTTCTCTTGCTTGTTTTTGGTCTGTGGTTTTCCAATTTTGTTTTTAGCTTGGTCACCACCAGTGTATTTACCCAATATCTGCCCCTCTTCTTGTTTGTACATCTTGTATTTCTTGTATCTATAATTTCGGCATATAGTAATGTGATCAATTTGGTTCTCTGTTTCATTGTCTGATGAGACCCATGTCACTTTGTGACATTTTTTGTGTGGGATGTACATCTTGTATTTCTTGTATCTATAATTTTGGCATATAGTAGTGTGGTCTATTTGGTTCTCTATTTCATTGTCTGATGAGACCCATGTCACTTTGTGACATTTTTTGTGTGGGAAGATGATGACTCATACCACCAGTGCATTGAATGTTCAGAAGTCTGCAAACGTCTCTCCATCTTCATTCATGTTGCCAAGTCCATCCGTGTCCATGTTGCTCAGTCCATGTGTTCCATATTGCCAAATCTGTGTGTACTCATTGATTTCTCTCTCATGTCCAAGTTTGCCATTCATGTCTTCTATGAGGATCAATATATCTCTTTTATGTACTTTATCCACTATATTTGGGAGTTGTTCATAGAATGTAACTTTTTCTTCTTTAGGATGAAAAGTTAGTGGGGCATAGCACATGATAATATGTACAGTCTTGAATCTCGACATGAATTTGGCTCTGATTATTCGTTCTGAAACAGGTTTCCATTCCAAGAGACTTTTAAATGCAACTTTGTGGGCGAAGATTTGAAGTTTATAGTGTGCCATCTCTTTAGCAACTTAGGCACATCGAGTAGGGTGGTCGGCCTAGCCGGATTCTTTTGACTTTCCCAGTACAACCTCATTGAACTCCTTTGTGGAGCCCTACTCTTGCCTCTGACTATGTTTTGTGGATTGCATTTTTCATTAGTTTCTTAACAATTGGTTTCTACTATGGACAACCCCAAGACCTGGGGGAGGGAGATGCACCTTTTGTCTGGCTCCTTTCGTAAAAACCTGTCCCACTTGGGTGGTATGCTTCCGCTGGCATAGTTCTAGGGGTTATTGGGACAAATAAGCTGTAACGACAAGGCAAGGTATGTGCATCCAACGACAGGCACAAATAAAAACTTACATTAAATGTTCATGATTTTTTAAAATTTGTATAGCTCATAAAAGGAAAAACATGAACATGGAGCTCACGATCCAGGCATTTCCCATGGCTCCAAATACGTTTCTTCCATCCAAAACAATCTCAGGCATACATTCTTAACTGTTAATAACTGTTTGCATTAGCCTTTACAAATGGTTACTATGCATAACTCTATATTAATTAAGTTTATCTATCGTTTAGTAATGTCTCTACCACATTTCGTAAAAATCTCATTTTCATATCCCCTTCAATTTCAACTTGACAACAACATTCCCTTGGATTCATTTCTGTAGGTAGTACACTTATTTTGTAATAGGCCAATTTCACATGCTTTAATCTTAATGTTGAATTATTTTTTTAGAAATTATATTAACTGAATATTGTTGCTTTTATTAAGTTAAGCGAAGTTAATGAAGGGTCAATTTCCGCAATCTGCTCCACGGTAAGTTGCTGTGTAGGATTATATCCCTTTCATTATTTATGGATTGTTATTAGAGTTAACTAATCTTCAATGCAACGATGGAATGTTTTAAAATAAAAATTCATTGGTTGGTTAAGTATATATAATATTTTAATTTAAAAGCATTTGGGATAATGGGTATAATATTTTATTGCATTGATTTTTGACAATTGTTGAATTTTCCTTTGGTGGAACCTGCAATAAAGTGTGTAAAAGTAAAAGTGTATTCTATGAAACTGTAAGTTGGGTTTTAATTATTTAAAAATTATTTAAAAATTATTTTGTATTATTTTTCTTCATTTCACTTTTCTTACCAAAGTGTGTAACTGAAGCCACACAGTTTTAGTGTTTTAGTTGAGGGAAGGGAGCATGTACCCACCAAAACTACGGCATGAAAAAGAGCAAACGCAGGTCTTTGAGACGTCTTGCGGCATATCTAGAGGGATACAATTAAATAGCTTCTTTCACCACCAAATTAATGTACCAGCTGATTTTACGCCAGGAAAGGGGGCACAGCAGGTTGTTGAGAATTCTTGCCATGTATCTAGAGGGATACAATAAAGTCGCTTCATTCGCCACAAATTTTATGTACGGGCAGAAATTATGTAATTAATTTTTTTTTTTTTTTTACTATTTTTGTTTCTCTATGTAAATAGCTAAACCAATACATTCTCTCCCTTCACCCTCCCATTTTAGCAGACCTGTGTTTTATACATGACCGCCACCTTGGTTACCATGACCCGTGAGAGGTCATGGTAATCAAGATGGTGGATGTGGCAAATAAGGGGCATGGGTTGTGTAAATTTAACTGATGAAGTTCTTCTTCTCCTTTGTGGTTTAAAAAATGGATTGATTGGTTTTTACTACACACACAGTGAGAGTCAATTTTAAATATTTAAAAAAATAGTTTTTTCAATGCATTTTTGAAAAAAAAATGTCAGTAAAACGCTTTGGACTTTGGGAAACCTGAATGCTGCAAGGGCTCTTATTAAAAAAAAGTTTTATCTGTTTGGGAATTCTCTGGCCTAGGCTCTTTACTAAGTCTTTAGACTATAGATAATAGATGTCTTCTACCACATAGTCAACTGCTAAACTAATAGGCTTAACAGGCCTAATTAATAACTCAAATTAACATTACTACACTAAGTTTCACTAACAACTCAAATTAACATTGACATTACTACACTAAAATAACTGAACTGTCTTAAACAAAATTAGTTAGGCCAAGTGACCAGGGTAGATGGTACTTGCCTCCACCAAAAAGCACTTGTCTCTTAAAGAAATATTCAACTTCAGCATTATAATGTTCTGTATATGATCCAAGTCTGCTGCCAGTACTTCTCGATTCAGTCCAGTGCACTTTAGCAACACCTTTCATGAAGATTCGTAGAGACCTCATTTTCATATCGCCCTTCAACTCGACAACAACATTCCCTTGGACTCGTTCCCCTGGATGGTACACTGATTTACTACCTGATAATATAATCTCAAAACATTTAAGTTTTCCCATTTTAAAGCTTTATTATAAATTTTCTATTGGGATTACATTTTTTCGAAAAAGTCGAAAAGTCCAATGCAGTGATTGGTAAGCTCTGAAGAGGCTAATGTTATGAATTTTCCTCCATCTTCCTGTTGCGCGATGACCCGGACTTGAACCCTACGGTTAAAATATAGTGATACCATTCAATATATTTGTATGAGAAGATTGTTTAAATTAATGTTTCATTTCTTTTCCTTTTTACCATAAACCATATTAATATTGAACCATTTCAATGATTAAAATTGATTGAAAATTTTTAAAAATGTCCTATGAAAGAAAATGTATCCTTTTTTTTTAACATAAAAAACAGAACTATTTTCTTATTACAATATTATTTTAGTGAAATATGCAACCATGCAAAAACTAAAAAAATTACCCCAATCCCCCCCCCCCCCCCCGCCCCATTAGGCAAAATGAACGTGTTCTTAATATTAGTAGTTCCTAAAGTGTGCATCGCGAGGCCCTAGAACAGCGGTTCTCAACCTGTGGGTCGCGACCCATTTGGGGGTCGCATGACCCTTTCACAGGGGTCGCCTAAGACCATCTGAAAACACATATCCTCTACTGTTATATCGTATCAACGAAACTATTTTTGTTCTTGGGGGTCGCCACAACATTAGAAACTGTTTTAAAGGGTCGCGGCATTAGAAAGGTTGAGAACCACTGCCCTAGGCGTTGCGAATTCCTCACAAGGTGCGACGCCATGAAAAAAAAAAAAACAATCAATCTTTATTTTAAAAAAAACACAAAAAAACTGTAACTATTTAAAGAAAAAATGAATGAAGACCAGAGGCTAAAAATGTTTATCGTTGTTGTGTGTGCTCCACTGTAGGCCTGGTTGATGCTTTTCCAAGTAGGCTGTAAATTACCACTTTTGAAGAGTTTATTACCTTGCTTGAGCAATGTTTTCAAAATGATAATATCGATTAATTTGCATGGATTAAAAAATCGATTTGATGTTATTGATCCATCTGATTTTGCTCCTGCATATAAATAGGATCTTATCGCGACCCTTTGTTGAAAACAAAAATTAATGAGCATGGAATCGGAATCGTTAAATTTCAATTATAAATATAACTACCGTTTGCTTTCACCATAGGTCGCATTTTTTAAAACCCAAAAATACATTAAAAAATCATGGATGCGACCTTTCCACTCGACATAAATTTCGCTTATTGTTACTCAGTGTGGAGTATTCATTTATACCAGTGGGTCAAACTATTTTCGTCCACGCCCCATTGGAGCCATATACTCGCCCCTAGTGCCATCTGTGCTACCTTAAACATGTAGTTATTAAAGTTAGCATAACATATGATTGAACTTTTAATTGAACTTTTAAAAAAAATTCTTAAAATGCATTACGCAAAGAAGGCCTGAGCAGAAGTGTAGATGAGCACTCGGTAACGCCAAAGGATCCGAGATGAATGTAGACGAAATTTATTTACCCAATAAAGAGCCACGGTTATGGCGTAGGACCAGTGGCGTAGCTAGGGTTGGTGTCACCCGGTGCGGTAAACTCATGGTGTCACACCCCACCCCCCCCAACTTCTATGATCGATTTTTTCTTGTATAGCATTACCTTGAACTTTTAATAAAGCACGCATTTGGATTGGTTAAATTTGTGAAAAATATATGTGTTATCGGTTATTCTTTTATGAATCTCGATTTTTGCGAGCAATGTGTGCCCTGTAAATATGTAATTTTTCAATCGGGTTTCACCCCTAAAATGGTGTCACCCGGTGCGGTCCGCACCCCCCGCTCCTGCCTCGCTACGCCACTGCGTCTGTGTCATATGTTGTTGAAATGAATTTGTCAATTCATGTTGGTCCTGTGCTTTCCTTTCCAGTTGCTTCCAGATTTATGGCATACTTTAAGTGTCAGCCTCTAGCTCGCGTCTCCATGTGTTCTTAGGGGTTTCGCTTTTTCTTTTTCCTTGATAGGGATTGTCTGGTGATGTTATCTGGGGGATTTCCGAAGAGTGTACTCTATCCACCTCCATATATTCCTTATGATGTCACCAGTAATAGACCCCTGGTATGTCCTTTCCCTTAAGTCTTTGTTGGTGATGGTGCTTGACCATTTGATGTTCCCATTTGGAACTCCCCCTTCTTCCCATATCTTTCCAAACAGAGGGTCAGCATGATGACTATTGTATCTATATCTGCTCTCATCGTCTCTTTTGTGATGTTATCCGGTCGACATGCTTTCCCAATTTTAAGCTGCTTGATAGCCAGATCTATTTCTTCCTTTTAGGAGCACTATTTTCTATCTATAATCTCCATTTGCTGTTTAGTAATTCCTTAAATTATTCCATCCAAATGTTTTGTTGTTCTTTTCGTTCCATTATTGATCTACCTTCCTTGTCTTTAACCAGTCTTTCTGGCTTCTTGTAACCTTCTAGCAGACACTAGACATCTACATATGCTCTTTTATCCTATTTGATATTGCTCTTTACCCTTTGATTTGTTTCATTATATTTCTCTTGTGATTTTGTTTTCACTGCCCTGGTTCGGCTGTTAACCTAAAACTTCATTTATTTCCTCTCGTTTATTTTTTGCAACGCGTTAAGTGAGAGCCAATCTTTGTGTTTTTGCTTCACCTGACCTAATACCTCTCTGCACGCGGGTGTTACATACATCTTTATGTTTTGCCATCGAAGTTCTATCTGGTCATCATCTGTTTTGTCTTGCAGTAGCTGGAACTTATTTCTCAAGGTAACACTGACTTCCTGTAATTTCTGCTCGTTTGCCAGAAGTGCTATGTTGTATTGTAGTCGTCTAGCCACTGGCTCTTCCCAGTTTTTCTTCAGTTTTAGATTGAGTCTAGCCCAAACTAGATTGTGATAAGATGCGACATCAGCTACTCTTACATCTTGTAGATACCTTCTGAATTTTTTGCCAATACATAAATGATCAATTTGGTTTTGTGTTCTTTTATCAAGGGACATCCAGTTACCTTGTGGATAGTAATATGCTGGAATTCCCTGCCCCAAATAACGAGCTCATTTGCTGCGCAGAAGTCTGCCAGTCTTTCGCCGTTTTTATTTCTCTCTCCTAAACATGGCGCCCCATAATTTCTTCATATCCTCTGTTTTCTTTCCCAATCTCAGCATTTAGATTTCCCATTATGATATAAAGATCTCTGCCTGGAAAATTTTTCAGTACCGCTTGTAGTCTTTAGTAGAAAGCTTCTTTTTCATATTCCATAGCATCGTTGGTGGGTACATAGCACCACTGTATTACATTCATATTTATTTCTTCTTCTTGGTTCGGAAAATTGCTGTAATAGTTCTCGGACCTTGGGCTTCTCATCCTAACAATGCCCCTTGTGCCATCCATATCATAATGAAAGCGACTCCTTGTGTGGGTGGAGCATTTACCTCCTCATGCCCTGAGTACATTAGTCCTCTCCCGAGGCCAGATATATATAGCTTGTGTCAATCTTGTTTCACAGATACTGAGCAGTGTGATTTTGTATGTTCTCATTGCTGTCGCCATTTGTTTCCTACATGGTTTTAACATTCCACGAGCCTATGCTTATTGCCTTTGAAAGGAAGATATTCGGCTTTGAGGCTTCCAGTACAATCTGAATTTTGCCACAAGGCTTCATAACTCTACTTGGGGAATAAGAGCCCTCTCTGATCGGGACTGAAATTGTTCGTTTTTTTTTTTCTTGTTGACATTTCTGTAGCCGTTTTAAAAAAAAATAAATTTACGGGTGAGGTAGCTGGCCTCACGTCAACCCTCCTCCTTTTGCACCTGGGCTTGGGGCCGACCATGGTGGAGTTAGACGAAACGTAACTTTGTTTTACTTTTATTAATTATTGAAAAAAAGAAGAAGCCGCACTTACTTTCTTTACGCAATGCATTTTAAGAAACTATCAATTATTTTCTACTTTTTACTGTTGATACGCTTTCATCTTTTTTAAATATATTATTTTCAACTTTTTATGAGGTATTCTTTAAATTGTAGACAAGAGTAGAATTATTTACTTTATTTTAACATCGAATACCTACAAAATCCCGGTTAAAGTGGCATAACTCTTTACCCAGGCATAAAACTAAAAAGTAGATTTCAGCTCACCCACTCACCCGTTCACTTAGCCAGACACAGTCAACCACGATAATTTGAGGACAGTGTCAACCGCCTCCTTCGACCCAGTTTTTCAGTCGTTCACCAGGTGAACATCGCGCGAGAAAGTCTTAAAATGTCACGAGTGTAAACAAACAGATTACGCTCCGCAAGATGGAAATGCTAGTAGAGAGAGGGAGAGTATTTAATTTTTAAAAAAATATTTTAAAAACATTAAAACGCACTAAAAAGTAGAAAATAATTTTAAACTTCTTAAAATGAATAACGCAAAGAAAGACTGTGCAAAATTGTAGATGAGCACTATATGAAGTCAAAGGATTCGAATTCAATATAGAGTTATGTATTTTTTTTAAAACCTCGAATGCTTACAAAATCCCGCTTAAGTGACGTAACTCTTTACATGGGCTTAAAACTAAAAAGTAGATCTTAGCTCACCCACACACCCTTTCACTCAACCACGAAGCAGATGGGGTATCCCAAGATAATTTGAGCGGCAGTGTAAACCCGCCTCCGTGGAACCAGTATTCTCTTCCAGCCGTTCACCAGGTGAACATTGCACGAGAAAGACTCAATCTTAAGATGTTTCGTGTATAAACAACAAATTACGCTCCACACACAAGATTAAACTCCACAAGATGGAAATGCGAGTAGTGAGAGTCTTCAAAAAAGTCTGTAAACGCTTTATTTCATATTAATTAAAAATTGTTTAATTCAAAACGTATGACTTGGTTCAACTAGGTTAAGTATGGTTTGAACATTGAAGACTGCATGTGACACATTTAAATTACGACTCAAACATCATGTCCTAAAATAGTACTCAAACAAATTGATGTGTACAATTTTATTCTGGTTTTAACTTTTTTTTTTCCCTGCACGACTTCAGTATAGGTCATCCAGCAAAACAAGATTGATGCCCCTTGCTTCCATAATGGGGTCCATTTCTTCTCGAAGCTCTCTCAGCTGGTCTCTTATGTGTTCGATGTCTGGGCTGGCAAGATCACATAGTGTTAAGTTTACCTCTCGTAGATGTGGTTGGCGTTCCTTTACCAATTGGCATATGACACTAGCAACCTGTGAGAAAGATTTCTCAAATAAATGTTTTTTTTTGTTTTTTTTAAAAAACTACATTAAAGAGGAGGGAAATTATTTTATTTTTCCCCTAAAATTATTTCTACATATATTACACATATTTTTCAAGAAAATAGTCTTCCTTCGCACGGCCGTTGGCGAGCCATGTATAACTTTTCGTAAGATAGAGTGGCTTACCCACGGAAGACAGCTTCTTTTTCTTAGACGTAGGCCTGAGGTTAGTTTATGGAAACTCATCATTGTAAATTGAATGGGCTTACTTCAATAAGATAGTTAATATGAGCGCAATATACTTTGTGGAGTCATGTGAAAAAACATGAGCCCAATGTACACGACACTTTTATTATTAAAGATACGTGCCAGTTCCAACAACTTTAGGACTTTTGAGTCTGCTTACGTGTACACTCGCATTGGCCTTGATTCGAACTGTTCGCAGATGTTGGCACCGTGCTATGGTGCGAATAATGTCATTGTCAACAACATCGTGGAAGTTATCAAAGTTCAGGTCGATCTCTTGTAGCTGTTCATGATAATTCTCATGGATATGGTTCATTGTGGCGCCAAGCTATGAGCAATTTAAAATTACGCAGTTGAGAAAAGAGGGAAGTTTAGAGAGTCTAATTTAACAATATCTTGATATCTTCTTTTTTTTTTTTTCATTTCATTGTTGAAAACGTCAATAAAAGGAAAAGATGGTGGTATTTTATTTTTCAATTTTCAAAATATTTTAAATGATTAAATCTTAACAGATGGCGAAATTATAAGATCATTGTACTTGCAAGTAGAGACCGCCCGAAAGGGATTTTCTTAATTCGCCCGAAACCGAAATAGACTGAAACCAAAAGCTTAACGAGACTTTCGGCCTAAACCGAAAGAATGAGATATTTCGAAACTCGTTTGCGCACGCGTTCTGCTTACATCGAAAAGTGATGGGGGGAAGTATCGATACTGAAATTCTTTTTATAAAATTGAGATTTTCATGAATTTTAATAGATATAGATAAAATGAATACTTTGGCTTTTTCCGTTTGAATTAAAATAATTTAGAGCTGTTAAAAATGTATTTTAAGGTAATACGTTTAGAGAAAAATTTTGAATTTTGGGGAGAGGACATTCGTGGAAAATACACCCTTAGGTGCCTTTTGCTTTTATAATATAATTACAAGGCTACTTAGATATATTTGGTATCGATTGAAAGCTTAGCATATGCATTTTTTTGGGTATGGTCCACTGTCCAGACAAAAGCCCTGACGGAACTCTTTGTTCTGCTAAACCAAACATTTTCGGCAAAACATGCTTCCTTATTGGACGACGTTTAAATGTTTGGTTCATCCAAAATTATTATTTATCGGCTAATTTTATATTTGAACCAGATTAAACAAAACTCGAATGAACGTCGAGCTACGTATAGTATAATATCATAGTAGCTGACCTGGTTACACTGAAACTCCCAATGTAGTACATTATAGTCTCATAATAGTACTTTATCATCTTAAAATTGTACAATACCGTATTTTAATAGTAAATAAATAAACATACAGTATTATATATATGCTTATCGCATGTTCATAAGGTCACGTCTCAAAGTAGATGACTGACGATTATATATTCATATTCAGTGCATTAGTGCAAATAAATGTGTCTGCCCTTGGACCATTTGATGGACGAAGATGTGGCGCGCAGGGTTTCTTTCAGCGATATCTCCGGGAAAGCCAAGTGCCCCCCCCCCCCCGAGCAAAAATAAAGTCATTTTAATAATGTGATAGTTCTTTTAAGTGAAAATTTTATATTTTNAGTCTGAAGCGCCCCCCCCCCCCGAAAATCGCAAGTCCCCCCCCCCCCGGGGAAAATTTCTGAAAGAACCACTGGCGGCGGGGGTGGAAATTAAGAACGCCCACCGAAGTCACCCCGAACAAAAAGGGGGTGGGTTGGGGACAAGGCTGAGTCCCCTGTCCAATTTTTTATTTTATTTTAATAAATTAAAATGCAGGAATGCATTTTTGCGTATACCTGAATATAGTTTTGCATCATTCTATACTTAATTACCTTACCTTGCCTTGTTTACATAAATCATTTTTCTTTAAGTAATTACTAAATTGTATTTAAAAAAAAAGTAAATTATTACTTATTTAAATCTATAAGGGTGGAAGGGGGGAAGAGAAGTGCTGGAACTAAACTGGGATATTCAAGCTGTATTTAGAGGAAGGAAGAGAAGTGATGGAACTAAACTGGGTTATTAACATTGTCAGATGCTTAGTGAACTCTAAAAATAGATTTCAAACAACTGTTTACTAGATCTTAACAGAATATGTCGAAATGCAGCGCTGCTGTCCGGAGCATTTGAGAATGCCTTAAAAAAAAAAAAAGGAAGTCTTGATAAAGGAGCACCGAATCCACGCCAATGATAATATTAAAATCATCCATGCAATGTGCACGCCCTCCTCTCTAGTCATATTTGAATGCCAGAGTGGAGTGGATAATGGGACATCCATATATAACGTGGGCAAAAAAACAACATATTTTCATACAACCTCCCGCACCCTGTCAACGCAAGGCGCAGTCCATATTATAAAACGTAAGCACTTAGGATGCGTATGGCAGCATGAGAGGGGGTCAGCTGAATGTCCCTACATTTATGCATAAATTATACAATAATTATACAATAATTATACAGACAGCTTCTAATAGAGCCAAGTGCCATCTGAAAATCGGTTAAATCTACGATTTCTTATTAGGCTTGATTACGGCTATAAAAATATCACCCTTATGGTTCGCAGTTATCGGCATACTAATGCTTTGTGTCTACACGAACAGCTCGCTAGATAGCGATATTGTAATATTTAGCCTAGTCAAACAACACATTGTAGTCTTTCCGTGCTGGGGACATAATTATTTTGTTTGGCGAGAATCGTAAGAGACATCTCAAAATTGTACATTGTACGCCAAAATCGCAAAAGAAACAGGTCTGCAAAAGACCTATTACATAATTATTAAACGAAACGGTGATCACGCGTGTTACTTCGCCAATAGCAATGTTCATCGGCATGATCATGATGAATATCTATAAATTAATGAATTGAATAAGCCTAAGGTTTCGTAATTTTTAAGTAAAATGATAATAATAATGGACATTTTACAATTCACCTGAATTTTTTCCACAAAATTTTTCACCTTTGCCTGTGACACGATTTAGGAGCATGACAATGATAAATCAAAATGAATGTCACAAATGAATGTCACAAATGAATGTCACAAATGAATGTCACAAATGAATGTCACAAATGAATGAAATGAACAAACCTAGGGTTTCAAATTTTAATTTTGAAAAAAAAAATTGAACAAAAATATTAAAATAAATATTACTATTCCCGTGAGTCCCACCCCCCCTCCCCCCCTCCCCCCACAAAACTATTTACTTTAGCTTTATTGAAATTGTATTTTTGTAAATTTTGGACAAATAGGTCTTTATGAAGCTCTGAGCAGTGTTCGCTGAGGTTTAGTCGCATATATCATACATTGACAGCACGATGTCGAGCAATCATGAAAATCGGATTGCCGGCCGACAGATTGGCAGATTGACAGTCTGACTTCTGGTACACTACAGAAGGCCTCAATCACTTTCGGTCAAAATCGAAAGTCAACTTTTTTTCTCGGCCGAAACCGAAACTACGCCGAAAGTGATCAAATGACAACTTTCGGCGCTAAAACAGAAGCCGAATATCAATTTAATAGTTTAATAGTGAGGTAGGTTTTATATTAAATTTTAATTTGTTTTTAATTCTAATTTTTTTTTTAACAGTGTGACGTACTTTGAAAAAAAAGAGGGTTGGGGGGGGGGGGTTGAGATTTTGGACAGGTTGTGTTGGGGGGGGGGAGGGGGTGGCACTTGGCTTTCCCCCGGAGATATAGCTGAAAGAAACCCTGGTATTGACCCTAATAAGTTTTCTTTTCTGTGCACATTTGGTGCGTACCGTACGACAAGGGAAGCGGCGAATCAGTGCGCATATCGGTGCGCAGTCGGGGCGGACAACATCTCCTCGGGAATCATCATCATCAAAATACATAATTCTCTATGTAACAATGTCACTAACGCGACCAAACGGCGCTTATTTTTTTACTTAATAAAATTCCCGATAACTGCGCTAAATGAGATTCTTAAAAATACCGCAAGTGGGTTTGGTGCGTACTATTTTCTTTAGATTTACGGCAAAAGTTGGTGCAATTAATCTGCGGTGTAAAAGCGGATAGGTCATTAGCATGGGCGCCCGCAGGTAGGGGCAAGGTGGGGCACTTGCCCCCCCCCCCTGGATTGATTGGATAAAATTTTTTTGGACAAAAATAGACAAAAAATGTATTAAAGTAAAGAGAAAATAAAGAGAAAGTAACTAAGCTGATGTCCTGTCCGTTCGTTCACCATACAAATACGCTACAGTAAATTAAAACTACATTAAAAAAATTACTAAAAATTTTTTGCCCCCTCCCCCGGAATGTTAAATCGATTTTTTTGCCCCCCCCCCCTAGAAAGTTTTCTGCGGGCGCCCATGCCTATGCAGGCTACATTTTAAGCTTAATTTTAAATAGTAGGCTATCATGTGACTTATATATGACAATACATGTTAAATGTTAGTTTACTGCACCAGATTAAACCTTCTGGGACATGGGTAAGTTTGCTAGGATTTGGGGAAGATTGCAAATATGTTAAGGTGGAACTAACTGCACAATATTCATCGTTTAGTACATTAAAAAAAAAAGCTTGTAAAGAGTTAACTATCACTAATCTATGGCATCAAAGAAAGCAGTTGTGCATTTGAGGCGCACTTATACTTGGCGTAAATCATAAGAACACACCAACATTTTTTTTAAAAAAAAGCAACTCTTAAAATAATGTTAAAGACAGACCTGCCATTCTATGTCGTCATCATATCCAGACCACATTGTAAATCCAACCAGCGGGATGTAAGGCGACAGCATAGGGATGACAGCATTGGCGTGAGCGATGCCAAAAAGAGCCACTTCAACTGTCAGCTTGGGGCACGCAGCGACCAACCTCTGCCACGTCTCATTCGTTAGAGTGTGCGCTGTGGAGCAGTGAATGGACGTCACGGGTAGTGCACGATAGTTCACAACGTTAATCACCTCATCAAACTGGTCGCCCATTTAAGCCAATTTTTATATCAAGATTTCGTTTTATAAATTGTTTAAAAAGTTTGATTATTACTGTTTTAAATGTCAAATGTGCGACTTGAATAATTTTTATTTCAGTTAAAACAATAAAAAATATTAAAACACGGGATCGTATGATAATCTTAAATCAATTTTCTCTCCTAGTTAACTAGGTGTATATTAAAAGCTGATGTACACATGAATTTAAGGAAATCGGACAACACTCACAATGAGGCTCATCAGCACCAGCCTTGATGGTGAGGTGTCTGAGTTTTCCCTGCAGAGACTTGGCCCAGTGCTGCAGAAGTTCATTACACACGCAGCAGTAGTTCAGAGTGACCTTTTCCAAATTAGAAAATCCCTGAAAATATTGTTGGAAAAACAATTGAACGGCTTTAAATTTCATCCTATATAGCCCCAAGTCTTTAAAATATGATAATTTTGAGTTGCTTCTTAAATGAATGTCCTTCGAAAGCAAAAGTTGCTAGATGGCGGTTTACGTAGGCCTTTCGTATTGATCTATTTTACCTTCAAATTATATAGTCCATCGGTGATTTATATTATATATCTACTTCTTCTCTCACTCTCTGATCTCTTAAAGTCACTTTCATTACATATAATTCACCGTTTCTCATCAAGCGCCGATTAAATAGACACCAATAAAGCAATTAATTAATGCCCCACACACAAAACTTCCTTCACCTGAAGAGTTATTTTAAGCCAATCGCTTAGAACTTTAACGGCTTAGAATAAAAAAAAAATGGAGGGAACATCCCACCCACTTCCTCCCAGTTTCTTAAGATCAACTTGATCAGGGCGAATTCTTTTGCTCAAATTAAGAACCAAAAGATATAAAAATTCATTGGTCCCATATGCCCAGTCTCTCCTCCTCCCCCCCCCCCCCCCCATTTTTTCCCCGGCAATTATAAAATCAAATAATCACTCTTCAAGTTAATATTTTCACCAATGGAATGAGTTTTATGATGTGATGGTTGATTTTAAATTACTCTAGTTTAATAACTTATCTTAATACGAATATTTATCCATATGCTGAAAATTAATACGCACAATGTAATAAAAATACACGTTCATTCATTTAGATCAATAAAATAATCTTATCTTATCTTATAACTAGGCAGAGCATTTCCATTCATCATGAATAGAATAATGATTACAACCCACTGAGCAAACTTCTTTATCATGCTACGTCTTTTTTCTTACCACATATTTACTAGCCCCCTTCGTTATTAACTCACACTCATGGTCAGCACGAAGCGGCTCAGCTGATAAGCTGCGAGTCTACCGTGGAAAAAGTCCATGAGTTCTAAAATACGAATAGAATGACCAGATGACTTCAGCAAAGCTTCAAGAATCTCAGTACCTGACAGTAAAGCGATTTGTGCAGACGCCAATGTAACAACCTGCAACATGAAGCAACTGCCGATAGTTAAAAGAGACATATATCAAATATGGCGCTAATATAATAATTCACGTGTATCTAATTTGTCAAGAATCAAGGGGATGAGTAGGTTGTTGGAAAGTGAGATCCAAAAAGTACTTGCAGTCGTCTTTTTCTACAGTGGTTAAACTCGGCTACTAATCAGCTTCAGATCCTTTCGAAAACATATTAGGGGATCTGATTTTTTTTTAAAATTACAGACCGACACCTCTAAATCAAACATCTCTCTCACCTCATTTTAAATGTAGTAATGTGATCTATCGTCCTTCCTTTCATTAAAATTCTACCTTTTGAAGTCCCTACCATTCGTACGCGTCAACTAAAATTCACAAAAATAATAGCTTGTGATATTCCATAATAATTGATTCTCCATTCACATCTACTTGCCTCTAAGTTATGTTGTCCCTGAAAAAATGTGACGAGGCAATTTTCAATGTTAAACCTGAGATGTGCATATTTCCAAAATCGATCAAGCTCAAGGTCTTCTATTTGGAAGTGTCTCAATCGTGCGTTGCTTAGACATTTGGCGAAAGCTTCGAGAGTTTCTGTGATGACGTTGCACGTATTTGATGTGACGTGACGACATGAGATGCTAACTTCCTGGAGATAGGAGCCCAGCATTTCAGCATATTGAACTGCTCGCTTACCTGTCGTAAAGAAACATTCTATTCATTTGATATTCTATCTACAATAGGGCGACGACGAGCCGTAGATCTCAGGGTTGACTATCTATCTAATCTTACTGTCAGACGACAAGGCTGATCTGTCCAATCGCCTCTAACTAGTGCAACGTATCCTATAAATTAGCCCAATGCACTACAACTCTAACTCCATCCTATAATGCAATAAGTTCATTAAATTCAACACATATTGACTAGTCATGTAGCATTACCTCCAAATACAAGAGATATTATGCAAACTAAATAATACTTCACAATGCGTCCAACAGACTCAGAAACACAACAATCTTCACCTTGAATATGATACACCCCGATGACTATGAAAAAACTCTCTCGCCTATGACACAACGCTCTCTACATAATATACCCTCTCGCTTATCATCCACAATCTCACGCCTTGTTCACTCATGTTGGCACTATTTCGGGTGAACATCATTTACTGTAATATCAAACATCACAACATTTATTCTCAAACCATTGACAGGCGCGAGCTTGGATTAGCTATATAATCTTAAAATTATAGTCACAGACAGAAAAACAAAATATACTCAAACTGATTGATTCCACCAAAGACACAAGTTGAAAATAGTTTGACTTCAAATCATATCTCATTAATTATTAGAAAAAAAAAACAACAACACATCAATCCAGTCACCTGCATTTTTGGCATCTGGTCCACCAAATATGAAATGTTTGGTGCGCCACAATACTGGACTTTTGAACGCATTCCACCATTCGGGACATACCTGAAAATTGAATCTATATGGCTTATGGATAAAAGAAGTTTAAATAGTAGTACTTCTAGATTGAAAAAATAAACGAAGCTGATATTCTCCGAGAATACAGACAGTAGAGAACAAAAGGTCAAGGCAGTTCGCGTCAAGTCGAGCATTGTTGTGAGGCCGCATATTTTACGGCCTACTCACCCAACTGCACTGAAAAGAAACGTTTTATATTTCCAATATTAGTTTTGGCGTTAGTTCACCTAACGTTTGGCGACCCATCTTAACCTTTGCTAACAATATTCGGACAAACAGTAAGTCTTTGGCCTGCTGTAGCAGTAGTGGGTACTAAATATTTTTAATGAGCCCTAATCAACAACAGCTTTAAACCTTTCACCTGATATAGAAAAGCTTTGTTTAAAAAAATAAAATAAATGTTTATGTCCAAAAATAATAATTTCATGATTTTACCAACTAACAAACATATTCTGTGAGGGGCCATTTGATCTATGAGGCCCCGGCAAATACATTGACAATTAGTTACACCTGGTTACTTGTGCCAGGTCCCATTTTGATACATGACTCGTCATAACCTCCGCAAGCTCAAGTCTGGGACACGAAGTTAACAGGCATATGCTACAACTGTTTTTTGTTGTTATTCCCAGTGTGTAATGCCGACAGTTCAGGCCCCTGTTGTTGTCTAGCCTGTTGGAGTAAGAGCTTGATGGGTAGAGTTCCGTTCACACCGAGTTACCAGGCTCTAGTGCTGGCGTTTCAGCTTCAGAATATGGTTCAACTAAACGGTTACATAACTCTAGTAAGTGGTTAATCATGCAGTGTTGTTTTGGAGTATCGTTTTAAGCAGACGTGCACAACATACTGCTCGCGGGCCACATGCGGCCCGCTAGCACCCACTTTGTGGCCCGCGAAGTAACGAAATATTCTTTATTTTTATTATTTTCTTAATAGCGTTTCCCTTGTCCTATTTTCTTTTGTCCCGCACAAGGTTTTCATAAAGTATTACGGCCCGCCTTATATTTTGAGTTGTGCAGACCTGCTTTTAAGTATAATATATTTCCCTAAAGATTGCAAGGTCCAAATTTTTAAGCTCTAGATCGGCAAGTTAGGTCGTAACATATGATATTCAAATAGTGAACATCTAGTCAACACCAGTACCACTCCAACACTGTACCCCTTCAACAACCAAGATAACATGAAACTACCTGTGCCATGGCCACCTTATCAATCTCTGACAGATTCCTGTAAATTTCCACCAACACCAGGTAGGGTAGTTTGGTCCAAGAAATGGATCTTGGATTTGAAGGTCCTTTGAGTTTACTCACAACTCGCCTTTTTTTACTTGCCGAATGTTCACAATTTAGCTCCGTCCTCTCTCCAGCCCGTTTCTTACCCATGCTTCGTAATGAATGTTGGTGGCAAGAGCCTATCGAGTTCTGATTTACAAATTATACTACCGGCATACTTAATCTACTAATATTTTTTTGATGTCAAGTAAAAGTTCGAATCGCACATTTCCAAATCTTATTTCTGATGTTGATATGATGACCACATCTTCTTGCCTCCTCTTGAGTTTGTTTTTATTTAAGATAAGTGCAAAATCTTCGGGAATATCCAGACTATGATGTGAAGACATAACTGAAACATACTTTTGATATATATATAATAAAACATATTTTTCTTTTAAGACAACCTATAAACACATATTTTTCATTTTGTTAGATTGAGATTTTGCTTTAATTTAAAAATAAATTATACAATTAAATGAATGTCAAAACTTGAAATTGTGGATAAAATTGAGCGCTGCAGAGAAGAAGGTAGTATTAAATAATTAAGACTACAATGAAAATGCAGATAACTGTATCGCCTCTACGCCTGCATTAAAATTAAATGGGGTAAAACATAGGTATAATTCAAACGTAGTCTATAACAACTTGAATAATTAAAATATGTGTTTTGTAAGTGTGTTCAAGTTGTTTTTATTTTTTCCTATATAACTTATAATTTTCAAATGTAACAAATTTGAGGGTGCTCACATTTTGGCGCCCTTCAGTGGGGCTTGTCTATTTTATACGCATATTGTTATTATTGTCCATTTGTTTGTGGAGGAATCTTACATCTCAATTTTGACCCACTTCCTAATGTCCAAATGAGCGAAAACTCCTATTAAATCTTCATGAGACTTACAAAAGCGTGAGCACCAATGAACACAATTTTCGTTGTTTGAGTTCATTTGGTAATCAGGAAGTGGGTCCGAAATTATGATGCAAGATTGGTCCACATTCAAACTAACGAACAGAGAAATTTAATAAAAAACAAAATCACAGGGCACCATTGTATTTCATCGGCGCTTCACGAAATTTTTTTTTTAGTAACAACTGTGAAGTTTTGGGGGAAATTTATTTTATACTTTTTTGTCCAATTTAGGGAAAAGCATGTTTTTTAAAGGATAGTTTTAATTAAAAAAACAACAACAGAATAACACAGAGACGAATGTTGGTTTGGACTATATTGCTATGTCTATTCAAGCACACTTCTCAATTGCTTTATAATATATTTTACATGTCAGATAATTTTTTAACAATAAAATTTATTTAAAAAAAAACAACAAAAGTTCTCTATTTTGCTTCTTCTTTTTTTTTCTTGACAAATGCGATTTCAAAACATAACCGACCTACTCCACCCATAGCAATAAATGAAATAAGCAGTAATTATCGTGCAAGAAGCGTGGTAACTGTGCAAGAAGCGTGGTAACTTACCATTATTTTATTATGGAGGCCTACTTTTTCCGAACTTTTCAATACCACTATTTTTAAACTCGTTTACAATGCCTTCGCTATACAACATTAAGCGCGTCTCTCGACCTCTGTAATTTAATAATCGAACAGACAATCCCAGTCTTTGTAAGGTATTTCAGTCAGATTTAAAGATTAACTTAATCGCAACCTCCCGTGGAAGGCCCAACAGATAGTTATTGATAGTGCGTTGGTATTAAGACAATCAAGATCAACAGAAATAGAGAGCAAAACCTTTTATTGATTTTAAATGCAAACAATCAGTCGCTTGCATTCAGTTGTATTCTTGTTATAACCTACATTCGTGGAGACCCCTTAATTCATGGTTACATGAAATGACGTAATATTGTTTTGGTGATAATAATTTAAAGTTGGTAAATAAGGTTTTCATGACTCCCCCCCCCCTATCTCTCTCTCTCTCTCCCTCGCTCTCTCTCTCCCTCGCTCTCTCTCTTTCTTTGTGTGCAAAGCTGCGTTCAATACAGCTTCACGCCAATTTCAGTGAGTTAAAATTAGTTATTTTCAACAAATAGGATTTACATATTTATAGGAATTATATTTTAATGTGCCAAGTGCGTACATTTTTAAAGGGTTGTGGTGGTTGAGAGAAAAGTGGTTGAAATTCGAACAACCCCTAAAATCAAAGTTTTTCGTATAAATCCTTTTTAAAATGAAATATTGACCAATGGGGGTGGGCTGAAAATTTGACAAAAAATGCATACAATTAACTCACTGTATAAGAATCCCAATTAGTGCACCCCTTCAGGGCTCGCAACCGAACATTTTTTTCACGCCACTGAACTATATTAATATTCTAATGACCCACCCACTTTTACACAGCAGATTTATTTCACGAACTCTTTCAAAAAAACAAAAGGAAATGTTACGCACCAAATGCACTTGAAATAGTTTAAAAAAAAAAAAGAAAAAAAGAAACTCATTTAGTGCAGTTATCTATATCATATATATTGCCTATATCATTTATAATTTTTTATGAAACTAGAGGGGGGGGGGCATTTTCAGGCTTTGCCGCGGGCGCAGCTTTCCCTTGGCGCCGCCCTGATCGCCAAAAAGCCACGAATTAGCTGTATAATTAATACGATTACATAGTATGTAAGCAGTTATAATCACCTTGTCATGAATTACAGCATTTGTCAAATACGCGGTTAATGGCAAATCATTTAAAGGCATAGTTTACACAAATGGCGAAGTAATTACGATTAATTGCATGTTCATTTTCTGAGATGCTAAACGTATTATATTCACTGTTTAAGGAAAAAATGGAACCCTTGTTATACTGAAGAAAACTGATGGTAAATATTTATCAATTTGAAAAAAAAATCGAAAACTCACTTTAATTAATTCTAACATAATGTTACATTTTTATTAAACTATAGTTTGTGTTCAAAGTGTCCACCATTAGCTTCAACACAGGCTTCAAGACGCACTCTCTATTGACCAATCATTATCAACAGGATTCCCTTTTTTCCCGGACACAGTGTTTATATCATTATGCAGAACAATAATTTTATATGTTTAATGACAATAATGAGTACATTGCAAGTCAACCAGTGAACTAATGCTCATACAAGTGTGCTACTATCATTAATTATAATTTAAAACAATTTCAACACGACATATATTTACATATATATACAAACCAAATTGATATATTCACTGGATTTGACCTCACTTTATAATTATTATAATGTTTTATGTTGTTGAAGAGATTTGGTTCGTAAATGTATCCGTTGTGGCGTCACCAGACATTTGTTCTTTTTGCATATCATCTGATTCAATTTCAGGCAGTTCTCGTATTGATCTCAACGACTTCGCAAGTCGCAGCTCGTCTAAATCAATTGATTCAAGCTTAGCTTTGCTTCGATATATGTTGTTCTTGCTGTCTATCAGGAACGTGGCCTCTCGTAGTCCTAGCATGGCGTTTTCCACGGCGGATGAATATTGAAACACGTGATGACACGCTTTTGGTGGATGGGATTGGTAAGTTGGTTTACGAGGGCGTGGGGAGTGACGCAGTTTTGGTGGCATGTTTGTAGCCACGGGAGAAGCTCTCCTGGGAGAGTACATCGTCTTGTAGCCCCAGTACCCGGGTCTAATGAAAGTTTCAAAGCTGCTCGAGTTGCAGGCGTCATTGTCAGCATCTAAATACACCCTTTTATTGTTTGGAGTGACTTTATATTCTGGGTAGGTCTCAATAGACACAATTTCTTGTATTTGATTATTGTCACTTTCAGCTTGTGCAGTTTCTTTTACAAGTGCCAAATTTTCTTTGTCAGAAATTCTCGATGATTCGGATATTTCTAAAATGATATCGGGATCGGGATTCTGGTACACACCGATACGTCTTCTGCGATACTGGTTCAGGGAACCTGGCATGCTTGGGTACTTTTTGGTTATTGTTTTGGTGATCCTATTTCCTGTGTCTTCACAGCCCGTTTCGGATTCTACGCCAAGATGATTGTGTTTCGATAGAATTTCACAATTTTTTACAACGCTTTCATCGTTTGTCTTGAGCAAGCGTGGGAGCATACCATTTCGTGGCGTGGACTCGGCCCAAATGGAGCCTACTGATGATTTTCGACTACTCCTAGAATGCTCATCATATCGGGTTGGAGACTCGTGTCCTAGTGCGTGACTGTGTTTAGATTTTTTACCGGCGATGTCTTTCATCTTTTCAGAGTAGGCCAACATAGAGTGCTCTAAGGACTTTTTATTTAAGTCGAGAGATAACAGCTCCTTCCGATGAATAGACTGCAAATAAATAATTTAGAAAAAATTAAAATAATTCATAAAGAATAGCATCAGCGGCCCGAGCCGAAACTCTTGTGGGCCCCTTCTCGACACCCATAAAAATGTTTCGCTCCAATGACGAACCATTTAGCTACCCCAGGAACGCTAAAGGAGTAGCTTCCTTTAAAATTTGGCCTTGCATAGTAAGATGTGGATTCCTACTTCGGATTACTGTAACCGCCACATCGGTGGAAAACGTAATCCTATGTTTTCTGGCCGAGGCAGATAGAGGGATCTTCACTGGTGACAACTGGTGAAGGTTTCCTTAGAACTGTCGACCATAATAGACCCTAGGAGTGTTTAATTTTAAAGTAGTACTGGGCACTCCTGGCCGCTACGTTAAAAACCACATCACAAAAACAAGCTAGTGACGGGGACTAAACAGCTGCCCTCAAAGGGGTTTGCAAATTATGTCGTCATCGGTAACAGCTTCGTTATCTACGATCTTTTAGTAGCAGCTTTAATCATATCCAGACAAAATTAAAGTAGTGGACTCTTTCTTTATAAATACATTTTAAATTATTTTAAACAATAATATTGTTATTTAGACGACGCGTTTACGTCAAGTTTCCCCGTGAATGAACTTTAGCTGACCCCAAGTTCAGTGGATAATATCCCTGCCGAGTTGATGAAACAAAGAGGAGAAGCAATGATAAGTGCCCTATTCAATATTTGTAACAAAATCTGGCTTACAGGAGAATGACCCAAGCCATGGACCCAATCACTCATCGTCACCCTCCCCAAGAAAAGGTAACCAAAACAATCGCACAATTAGCCTAATAAGCCATCCAAGCAAGGTCATTCTGAAGATCATATTGAACCGACTAAACCATTTGCCGACAGAATCATTGCTGAAGAACAGGCGGGCTTCAGACAAGGACGGGGCACTACTGAGCAGATTCTAAACCTCCGAATACTATGTCAGAAATATGCTCAAAACCAACAAAATCTATACCACGTCTTTTTTGACTTAAAGAAAACATTTGACAGCGTTTGGCATGCTGCTTTATGGGCCAGCATGAGGCTCTACAACATCAACACAAACCTAACCAGCATGATATGCAACCTCTATGATAATGTAAACAGTGCAGTCTTCCTCAACAACAACATAGGAGAATGCTTCAAGACCAAGGTTGGAGTACGACAAGGCTGCCTGCTCTCCCCACCCTATTTAACATCTTCCTAGAGAAAATTATGTCAGATGCTCTGGAAGCGCATGAAGGGACAGTCAGCATTGGTGGCAGATCAATCACCAACCTACGCTTTGCGGACGACATAGACGTGCTGGCTGGGAACGAAGAAGAGCTAGCCAACCTGGTAAAGCGTCTCGATAAGACCTTGTCCTCCTACGGCATGCTAATCAGTGCCGAAAAGACAAAACTGATGACAAATAATACCGCAGGCATCCCCACTAAAATTAAGGTCAGGGAGGAAAGATTAGAGACTGTCGGCCGCTTCAAATACCTAGGAGCAATAGTCTCAGAACAAGGCTACAAGCCCGAACTGATGTCCAGGATTGCGCAGACTACAGCACTAAAGAGGCTCAAGAAAATATGAAATGACAAAAATATTGCCCCCAGCACCAAAATCAGGCTGATGCGCTCATTAGTCCTCTCCATTTTCCTGTATGCCTGCGAATCCTGGACATTAACAGCCGATCTTGAAAGGAAAATAACGGCTATGGAGATGAGATGCTTCAGAAGCATTTTTGGCATCTGCTATAGGGACCATATCGCCAACGATACAGTGAAAGAAAGGGTTTGTCAGGCAATTGGGGAGTACGATGACCTACTGGTGACTGTGAAAAAACGCAAATTACAATGGTACGGCCACGTAACAAGGAAACAAGGGCTTGCCAAAGAAATATTGCAGGGCACCACAAGAGGAGGGAGAAAAAGAGGAAGACAAAGAAAAAGGTGGGAGGATAACATTAAACAGTGTACAGGACTAACACTGGGCGATGCAGTGCGTAGTGCTGAAGACAGAGAGGAATGGAGGAGGATGGTTCACATGTCATCTGTGGCGCCCCAACGGTCCAAGGACTAAGGGGCATGAGGATGAGGAGGAAGTTCAGTACCTCGTATTGGGTGTGGCTAATTAAAATAGTCTCCCTTGGCCTTGTTTACAAATAAAAACAAATATATATGCCGTGTTATTAGAATTCTGTAGAAATATCGAGACTAATCAAGAAGGGAATACAATGTGTAAGCCCGTTCTAGAAATGTTTCTGAAACAGGCTATATATGCGTCTCTAGAGGGATTGACGGGAGGGAGAAATATTTTGCTATCATGATACGAGACGAATATTTGTATAGTTATACTTACTCTCTCTCTCTCTCTGTACCTTTTTTCAACCTTGTACCTTTTTCAACATTTTACCTTTTTTACATTGTACCGGTACAAGTCATCACTGTTCTGTAAGTCACTAGATTTAATTCTTTATTTCTTTTTTTATTTTTTTATTTTGTAATTTATTATTATCTTAATAAAATTATTAATTGTAATTAGCCCTAGTTTGGGTATCGTTTCTTTATTATTGTATTTAGTTTTAGGTATCATCTTTTGTTGCGTACTGTTTGTCAACGAGCCATATATATCGTTTAATAAGAGATTAAATTCTCTATACTTACAACGTTACGTAACAAATATATAGATAGTGTAGGCCTGTGTTTCTCAAAGTTTCGACATCTTTGTACCCATGTCTATAATTTACGTAACACCGAGTAACCCTCGTTAAAAAATGCATTTACTACAATAGTATTCAAAAGTATTTTTTCCCCCTTTGCAGCGCCTACCCCCACCAAACTCATCCCCAGCGTTTCTTTCAGAAATTTTCCCCCGGGGGAGCACTTCATATTTTCGGGGGGNGTTGGGGGTGGGGGGGGGTAGTGCCAGCAGTTCCAGTTGATTTACTGTTGGACATATTTTTGCTCTGGGGGGGCACTTGGCTTTCCCCGGGGGGCACACCCCCCCCCAAGATATAGCTGAAAGAAACCCTGCTCATCCCGTATCCCAAGGGGTACTCGTAACACACTTTGGGAAACACTGGTGTAGGCTATTGAGTATTAAACTTCATTGCTTAAATCTCCACAAATCGCTACTTTGGACAAAGACAAGCATTTTTAGCATAAAATTTCTAAGCTTTTTTTTTTGCCTTTTATAAAAACCGAAATAATGTATTGATTAAAGTTTTTAATTTGACTAACAGCTCTACTGCCATTCTAAAGACATTTTTAACACATTAACCTTCTTGTTGAAATGATCAGTTAAAATATTGGTCGCAAAAAAAAAAAGTATTATTTTGCGTAGTGTAGTAGCCTGGTTATAAAATGATGATTATGTCATGTTATCAACCTATTTAATCATTCAAACCAACCAACAATTATTTGTATATTATCACCGTCTAGATCCCACAGAAATGTCCTATGAAATTGTCACATTAATTAATAATGAGCTATTAAACGTAACACCACGTGTATTTTCATGCATTCCTCACTTATCAACATCCATCGACCTACGTCTACAGTCTACAGCCACATACCTATTTCAGCAGCCATAATCTACTTCCAAAGCCATATACCTATTTCAGCAGCCATAATCTACTTCTACAGCAACATATACCTATTTCATCAGTCATAACCTACTTCCAAAGCCATATACCTATTTCATCAGCCATAGACCTACTTCTACAGCCATAGGCCTACTTCTACAGCCATTTACCTATTTCATTAGCCATAACCTACCTCTACAGCCATAATGGAATCTGATGTCCTGCGCGTGATCAAAGAATTTCGGGCAGATGCCCCAGACTGGACCTCACTATGTAGACCGGCGATTGATGGGTATGACGTATGCAGTGACCAAGATCTCCCTGGTGTGGTGGTTACAAGTGAATCCTTGAGAGCATACAAATTTTAAAATAAATCAAAGTAATTAGCAATATATACAACACATACAGGAATCCGAAATTCTAGAACTAAAACAACTTGGAACCAGAAATCCTAGAGCTCAAACAACTTGGAATCCAAACGAAAATTTCTAGCAAATTTTCGCTCTAAATCTGAAAGTTGCTTTGGAATTTAAATGCCCGGTATGTTCTTCGTGTGTTTTTGCGGGAACATTTGCCCAGCACTCGAACCACCCATAGGTCGTTCAGTTCGTTGTCAAAAGCTTTAGGGGGTTATTGAAATCATCGCTTAGTTTATGTTTTGTGCCCATCTTGCGCCGAGTTTTTAAATATAATAAAAACTTAGGGTAGTTAGTAAAATAAGAGTAGTGGTCAGCTGTTAGAGCTACAATGGAAGTGAAAAAAGATCTTTTCGCTAAGCTTGACATCGGCCCAGGTGTGGTTGATCTCGCTGCTATATTCGGGAGGCCTAAATCGACTGTACGATTTTGAAAAATAATGAAGCTATAACAGCAGCAGCTGTGTCGAAATAGGTTACGTAGCTGACCTCTAGCAGGTCAAAAAATGTTGAAGAAATTGAGAAAAAATAACCCTCCTCCTAGTTTGGGGAAACAGCTGGCTGGGGATGTGATTTCTGAGACGATAATGTGTTAGAGCGCCAAGGTCCACCACGGTGATTTAGTGAAAGGCATGACTGATGCCAGTGCTCACAAGGAGGAGTTTTAAAAGTCAGTAGCAGGTGGTTCGAGACCTTTAAGAAAAGGACTGGGATCAATAGAGTTTGTGGGACTCGGGAACGGACTAATCTAGTATCTGTTGTTTTAAAAGGAAATTGTCTAGGAACTCGAAAGATTTGGAACTCGAATAAGGTTTTGAAATGGATTAAATGGTTTTACGCGTTCCCACTGTAAATGGAAGCTCAAATAAATACGAAGGAAAAACGCCAAAGGTTTACGTCTGATCATTCAGGGAAGTTTGTACACTACATGTAACAATGCAGGTAACAATTTAGATAACAGTAGGCCTACATATAACAATGCAGACAAAGGTACAGATAGCAATACAGAGAATAGTACATGCAGAGGATTATCTAGAGTTGGTGTCGCCCGGGGGAGTACTCGCCCTTTATTCATAAAACAAACATACATAAATATATAACATACAAGTCTTAGTAATATAACAAATGTAGTGGATCGAAAATCCCCCCCCCCCTTTTTTTTTTCCGCCCCCCAATTTAAATAAAAAAAAAAGATTAAAAAAAATAATGAATGATATTTAAGTTCTTTATTTTAATATAAAAAATGTAGTGGATCAAAAAACCCCCCCCCCCTTTTTTTTTTCCGCCCACCAATTTAAATAAAAAAAATAGATTAAAAAAAATAATGAATGATATTTAAGGTCTTTATTTGTGCACAAGGTTTAAACAATGCTTTCAATAAATAAGAATAAAAAATCCCATTGGTATTCTCATTCCCTCACCACGATTTAGTGTGATCAATAAATACAACGGTGCTCAATTTATACAGTGGTGATCAATATGTAAAGTTGCTGTCACTATGTGTACAGAAGTTATATTATAAATTTACAGTGGTGATCAATATTTACAGCGACCGTCAATACACACAATTATTATGAATACATACAGTGGTTACGAATGTAATATACAGTAGTGATAAATATGTACAGTAGTGATAAATATATACATTTGCAATCAATATATACAGTGGTCATCAGAATATACAGTTATGTTAAATATTTACAAGGGTGGTCAATATGTATAAGGGCTGTGAATATGTACAGCTGTGATAAATCTTTACCAATGTGTTCAATGTGTACTGTGGTTGTCAATATATAATGTAATGGTTCAGTTGTGACTCTACCGCGAAATCCGCTTGTTATAGCTCAGATTTTAGTCAAATTTATAATGTTTTTAATTTTTAATATTTTTTAATATATTTTTTTACACTGGGCAGTAGCAATTTTATTTACAAAATGGACAGATGTTTAAGTTGCTAAGAATTTAGATGTAAATAAAAATTATTCTTCTGTTAATAACAACTCAAAGTACCAAGCCTTGGTATTAACAAACAACATCAAGGAAACCGCGCTGTTTATATAAATTGAGATGGCCTACCGATTGCCGATCCTCACCCTGGTCATTTTGAACGCACAAATAGAATTTAAGCTTCTTGTTGTCATGCATTGAGTTTACTGCACATCCAGTTTTAAACGTGTCATATACAAATATAAAAAAAAATATTTTCTAAATGCAGTAAAAAACTGTAATAAATTATGCACGGCCGTTCAACTTAAATAACGCATGTATGATTTTAAAATGCCTGAAACAAGTTTAAAGATAAAATAAAATAGTATGAATGGATTATTTTTTAAGTACAGATACTTTAACTCGTTAATAATCGTGAAATGCATGGGGAAATCTAGATTGTACGAATATATTATTATACTTATAAAGTTTACATTGTTTTCTTACCCTGATCAAGTCTATAATGTTTATTAAAGGCTAATAATAACAACTTTATAAACCTCGTTGCCAAAACAATCAATATACGTCTAATCGGATAATCGATAGCACAAGTAATGATAAAACAGAACCGGTACCTTTTTGTATTTATACATGCTGCAATGTGTCCCGAAAACTGGTGGAGACTTAAGAAACAAGCGGAAGGTTACAACTGGAGCAGATTAATTTCCCACGTATCCTCTCAAACTATGAGCACATTTCCCACGTATCCTCTAACACTATGAGCACATTTCCCACGCTGGTAAATCCAAACACAACAAGGGAACGTCTGAATGTCAAGTTGTTTTAATTTAATGTGACAGTCGTGCACCTCGCATGCCTTGACACTGACTGAATTTACTGCATATACTGACTTACTGATCTAGGTAATCAATATTCTTAATCTACAAGAGATCACGTGACGCACAGGAACTTAATCCGTGTATCGCATCGTTGGCTCGACACAAACACAATTGTTACGTCGCCGCAGGGCTTTGATTAATGAATCAATAACTAGGGTCCGGCAGTGTGTAGCTGTTGTTAGTAATAACAAACGTTATCTATATATAGCCAATTTGATCATTTTTAGGTTTGCGGTAATCCCCCTACCCACGTCAGGTTTCAATGGGAGTAGACATTATTTTGTCTCACGTGACAGTCACAATTTTTCCTCTTGCACCCCCTCATCCAATTGGTTAACAATAGTAGAAGGCGACGGATAAATGGAAATTAAAATAAATTTTCTAATTAGTGGTCTTTCAATTGAAAAATCTTTCAAAATAAATCCCATATAACTGTACGAAACTCAATCTCAAAAATGAATAATCGGTCTCTAATTAATTTACTATTTTAATTTCTTGTATGTACTACGCGTGTGGTGTGGCTGCTTCCGATTCCCAACCGGCCATCCTCCTACTCAACATTTTTTACAGTAATAATACTGAGTGGGGTAAAGCTGTAGAGCGGCGAGCGTCACGAGTGACGGTTGAACAAAGGTAAGAAGGTTGAGTTTTTTTTGAAGGCGACTTTTATATCAATAAATAAAGTGCCACAGGTATGGTGTTGTACTTTCTGTATGACTGTCTGTTTGACTATTTTTAAGGATCAGCAGGTAGGCTATAAGACTGTCTTTAGGGCCATTGTTTAAAGGCTGGCAGGTCGGATATAGGACTGTCTGTAGGGCCTTTGTTTAAAGGCCAGCAGGTAGGGTGTAGCAGTGGCATAGTGAGGGGGGTGCGGACCGCACCGGGTGACACCATTATAAGAGTGACACCCAATTGAAAAATTGCATATTTACAGAGCACACTGAGCACACACTGCTCGGTCTAACCGAGGTTTATAAAAGGATAACTGATCACACATACATTTTTCACAAATGTACCCACTCCAAATGCGCGCTTTATTAAAAGTTCAAGGTTGATGCGTCAGAAATCTGATGACCCTATGTGTAGGTCAGAAAAGCACAGTCATTATTCCACGCCGACTAAAGAGTTCAGTAACTTCCGTTAGTGACAGGAGGGTATATTTATCTAAACTCTGAGAAATAGGGCTTTCTATTGATACTAAATACGGTGTGGTCGAGCGATTCTAAGTATAAGAATCGGTAAAAATAACAACATTAAAAATGAATTTTTACCCATTTATAGGGTTAAAAAATATATTACTATACACAATTTTCAATCTTTTAATGATTAATTCTTATTTATATAAATTCAAATAAATAAACGTTTTTTCAAGACATATATAATATTGTATATCGAAACCCAGAAATACTCAAAAAATTAATATTTTCCCCCTATTTGTCACTAGTATCGCCCCTTAACATTTGAGCACTATTGTCATATTTCAAATGCTTGGTTTTACCTGCTACCTATCGGTGTTGTATTTTGGACAGTGCTCTGACTGTTGTTTTTGAACTGTTGTCAGTATTTATTTTATTTGTTGTCTTGAACATGACAAAATTAAAGCATTTTTATTTTTCAAGATTATTGTATCCTACCACACGGCGTGCAAAAATCTAAACGGCCAAATGGATGTCAGCAGTTAAAAGCAAAAATTAAAATACGCGACTCACTAAAATCACTACCACAAGAAACCAAATGATGACCAGGGCCAGGGTTCATCAAAAGATTTTCCTCAGCCTACAATTGATACTGATTCTCCCGATACCAGCAGCATGCATTCTTTTCAGCAAATAGTGGAGAACATGGAACCGATTGACGTGAAAACACAAGTAAAAGACGTGTGTGGTTTCTTCTTCTTCTTCTTCTTCTTCTATATTTTAAGGGCCCACGATCAATTTATTGATCATTTTGGCTCCTATGCATGTAGATGGGATTTGCAATGTTTCTGTTACTGGCGGTGATGAGGAAATTATGCACTAGGGGTTTGAAGGCTTGAGGCAATAGACACAAATGTGTCTAGTGTTGTCGCCTCAACTGTTCCTTTTGAAAGATGGTTCCAGTCCCTGATTGTCTTGGGCAGGAATGAGCAGCTCCTATACTGGCTTCTTGCTGGTATGAGCCTGAATTGCCTGTCATGGCCTCGTCGCTGTCTATGGGGGAGAGGGACGAGTTTCTGTTTAATACTGGAACAGTGGACCAGCCCATTATTTATCTTGTACATCATGGAGAGCCTGGATTGTCGTCGTCGTTTCTCCAATGGTGACCAGCCTAGTGTTTCTAGCATGCTGCCAACACTAGAGGTATTCCTGTAGCGGTTTAGGACAAAGCGTGCTGCTCGTCGCTGGACCGCCTCCAACCTGTCAATGCTCTTCTGGGTAAATGGGTCCCAGACTGAAGATGCATAATCTAAAATCGGACGGATAAAGGCTTTATATGCTCTTTCTTTCACACAGGAGTTGCCAATCTTTAGATTTCGCCTTAAGAACCCCAAGGCTTGGTTTGCTTGGTTACATACATTGTTAATATGCTCGTCCCAGCGGACCTCTCTTTGAATGGTAACACCCAGGTACTTTACGGAGGAAACTTGCTCAAGAATATGGCCGTGCAGTTTGTATTGGTAGTGTAGAGGAGTACAACTTCTAGAGATTGATAGTGTCTGGCACTTGGCAGGGTGAAATTCCATGTCCCAGCTCATCTCCCACTCAGCTAACAGATTGAGATCCTGTTGTAGCTGGTCCTGGTCAGATCTGTTGGCGATCGTCCTATACACTGCTGTGTCATCTGCAAACAGTCTTGCCTGTGATGTCAGTTTCTCCGGTAGGTCATTAATGTATGCTAGGAACAAACAGGGGCCCAGGACTGATCCCTGGGGGACCCCTGACTTCACATTGACAAAGGAGGAGCTTGTACCGCCCACCACTACTGCTTGGCGTCGGTGGCTGAGGAAGCTAGAGATCCATGTTTTAGTGGTGCCTTGAATCCCATATATCTGGAGTTTGTGTAGAAGCAAACTATGATTCACCCGGTCAAATGCTTTTGCGAAGTCCATTACTAGCACGTCAGTCTGCTTGTGGTTCTCCAGATTGGTCATCAAGTCTTCTACAAATTCGAGAAGCTGGGTCTCACATGACCTATTGACTCGGAAGCCATGTTGACAGTCATTGAGTATATTTTGGCTTTCAAGATGCTTCATGACAGAGCTTACGATTATGTGCTCCAACAGTTTGCAGACGACGCTAGTGAGGGATATCGGACGATAGTTGGCAGGGTCGGAATGCTCCCCTTTCTTGTAAATTGGAGTGACATGCGCTGTTCTCCAGTCTGCTGGAACATTTCCTGTGCATAGTGACGATTGGAAGAGGATTGTCAGTGCAGGAGCGATTTCTTTGGCTAATTCTTTGAGCACTCGTGGTTTAATGTTGTCAGGACCACATGCTTTGTAAGGGTTAATGGTATTGAGGAGGGCAAACACACCTTGTTCTGATATCTGGATATCTCCCATGATAGGATAGGCTCTGTTCATCATTTTGGTCTTCAGAAGGAACTCAGTCTCAGAGTACTCTCTACCGTCACCAAAGACCGACTGGAACTGCTGATTGAGTATCTCCGCCTGTGCTTTTGGGTCAGATGTCAATTGGCCATCCCACCTCAAGGGGGAAACTCCAGCGTTTGAGGACTTTTGGTGTTTCACATAGCTCCAGAAGCGCTTGTTCTTGACATCTTTGGTCGGGGTGTCTTCCTCTGAGAAGATGCCGTTCATGTAGTTCCAATACGAATTACGCAATAAGCGTTGAATGGTTCGGCGGAGTCTCAGTACCTCCTCTCTCAGTTCAATCGAGCCATTTTTCTTCATGCGTTTGTATTGGCGGTCTCTCCTGTGGATGAGCCTACGGATTTCAGCCGTGACCCATGGCTGATTTATCCTAGGTTTTGTGATTTGGTGTGGTATAAATTTCTTCACTGCATCAGTGATTGTAGTCTTGAACTTCACCCACAGCTCGTCTGTTGTCGCTTTACCTTGAATCACCTTCATGTTTGAGCTTAGCTCTGTGGTTGCAATCCTTAGGCCATCCCAGTCTGCCTTGGCATAAATTGGGATTTCTCGAATGATTTGTTTCATTTTTAGTGTGTTGACCTGAAATTCACAATAAGGAATGTTGTGGTCCGAAATCCCGGGGATGACATCAACTTTTTGGACACGATGTGGACAATTGGTGAGGAGTAGGTCAAGAGTGTTTTCCCCCCTCGTGGGTTCTTTAACCAGCTGTTCCAGACCATGGTTGTTAATTATCTCCATGAATTCTGAGTGTAGAACAGGGTATGGGGACTTGGGCTTCAAGGCAGGAATCTGCCAATTCCAACCAGGAAAGTTAAAATCCCCCCCTATAAGGAGAAAAGCGTTTTTTGACTGTGTTGCTCTGTGAAGCGATACCTCGAACCTCCTCAGGCTTGGTTCATCTGCTGTGTTTGGTCGGTAATAGGCACAAACGTAAAGTGTGCGTCTACCCTTTAGTTTCAATTTTACCCACAGGATCTCGCAGTCGTCAACATCGAGTTCTGGAACAGCGTGGCAGTCCAAGTTATGATGGACTGCAACAAGCACTCCTCCTCCTCTGTCTTTTCTGTCTCGACGAAATACTTTGTATATATCTGGTATAACCTCTGCGTTTGCTATGGAGGGATTCAGCCATGTTTCTGAGCCCAAGATGATGTCGGGTTTTAGGCTGTTAATTAGGTTAGCTATCTCTACTCGCTTACCACTTGCAGACTGGAAGTTTACATTTAATATGCATTTAATTTTACATTTTAAATGTTACATTTAACATTTGGAAACAGTAGTGTCTG